TAATATCAAAACATACGAGTATAATATACCATCTATTTGTTAGAAAATCAAAAAATGTAGTATTTTACAATAAAATCTTTGCCATGATTTGTTTGTAGCTATACCCTTAAATATGTCTTATTGAACAAAAACAGTAATAGTTAATATATGGAAATGATGCTATATTTGGTGATACAAATGCAAAATAATTCCTTATGTAATCAAAATGTTTTCTTAGTCAAAATGACCTAAGAAAGTACATGTAAATATAAATAAAATAAAATGTTTTATTGCAAGATAGTCATTTGTAATACAAATTTATTTAAATATAATTGTGTGCCACACACATATTCGTTTTTGTGGTGTTTAAAAGTTTATTAAAATGTGTTTGTAAAAATAATAGCAGGCCTCGAACCCATTTTAGGCACCATTGTTGTGGTGTTGAAATTTCAAAGGCTCTTGATATATATAAATAATAATAACTAATATTTAATTTTTTCTTAGATTGCTCATGAGTTCTCTTTATGGGGATAAATCTAATCGTCAGGATTACACCACACTTTGAATGCAAATGGGAATAAAACACAAATGTCGAATAAATTGAAATCAACAAAACTTTTAATGAACTAAGTATTTATTTACACTTAACTAAAAGAAAGTAAAAGCTAAACAAGCTTACAATAATCATTTTAATATAAACTGTTTTTGTTTAACCAAAAATATGAAAATCTGAATAAACTAGTTGAAAAAGATTTAAGGAAGTTGAAAGTTGCTAAAAATGTAATAACTAATAATATGATAAAAAACCTTAACGATTGTTTGCTATTAAACTAATGAATCTAAATAGGAGCAAGCTCTGTTTTAAACTATATCATCAAAAATAAAAACCTAATACTTCAAGATGGCTCTGCCCCTTAAAACAAAGAAAATATATTACTGAATCTTAATTAATTATGTATAAAATAAATACATTGTCAAAATTACTTATATATTTATCAAAAAATCTTTAAGGTGTACTTATAGCCAAAGGGCCTAAATGAATTCAATAATTAATAACTTAACCTTAGAGAAGCTTTAGAGATATTACTTCTTCAAAGATTAGCAGTAGAATGTCACAACTCCTTGAGATGCCTGGTTAAATGAACTTCTTAATCTCAGAGGGAGCTAACATCTACATACAGATGGCACTGTATGTAACAACTAATCTGATTGGTCTGCAAACGACAAACCAGAATTTAAACACAAATTCTTTAGGCTTATCAGTTCTTTACATAACTATTCTAGAAATAGATTATGATACATAGAAAAGTTTAACATAAAACAATATTAACATTTTCTACAAAAGATGAATATAATGATTATAAGTATAACAAAGTCATTAAAAGAATCAAAATACTACTAGATACTAAACATAATTATAAACATAATTTTATATATTCTAAAACTACAACTAGTTCTTCACCAAGTTTAAATGCCAGTGTGAGTGAAAAGAGAACCATTTTCTATGTATTGTAACTGTATAACTATATAAAATAAGTCTTAGGCCATTCAAATTTACTGTTATTATGTAAACATTAAACTAGTGCATGATAAGAATTAAATGTCTATAAAACAATACATGTTTAATATAATTAAACTTTAAGATAAACTTAAATCTAAGATATAAAAGTTAAAACCTGTATTATTTCTTGAAATTGTTTATAAAGATTATATATGTTATACTTCTAGAGCAATATTATGCAATGATTATAAGCTATTGTAGTTGGAATCCAACTTTATAACACCTTCACATCAATTACTGTTTTAGGATTCTAAGCGCTTTTCAACCTGGTTTTCTAGAAGCTTATGGTAACAAAATGTTGTACCCTGGAAATGTTTAAATGCCATCCTTTCTTTCTTACAGAGACAACACTAAGATATATGTGATTGATACATATAAAAACAGCTTTTGAAACGAGAAAAGAAAGGCCAAAAATATCAATAGATGACACGATTTCAAGTATAACTTTTTGAATAAAATCTTGTCACACGTGGATATGAAAATTTTGAAAAATGAAAACAAAATGAATGATGAAATCTATACAGCTGTACAGACAATATGATTTTTTTTAAATTATATTTATTCGTATAATATGAAAAAGACGTATATTGACGCAAGATTTATAATCCTTGTCAAAATATGATGATGTTGGAGTTTAAAATAAATGCTATCAGAAATAAAGAAGTTTGAGTAACAATAATAGTTTCTAGTAAAAAAAAAGTTAATTTTAAAAGCGGGATTCTGGAAATAGTCAAGTTAGAGTATTGAACATTCTGCCAAAGGATTTGAGTGATAATAAGACACATATATATGAAGTGTGAAGTAAATTCATTAAGAAATCAAGAAGTTAAAAAAATCTTAGTTCAATGGGAGTAAATCTGATAATTTTTGTCATAGAGTTGTCAACCTTGTCACATATGATGTGTTGATGATAAGAAACATGTCTTTGAAGTTTGGAGTAAATACCTTAAGAAATAAGGACGTTATAGTGAAACAGCGTGCAAACGTAAACAAAAAATCTTGACGAGGTCGCCGACGCTTGTTGAGTAGGACAGCTCTCAAAATGCTAATTAAAATGATGTGTATAATCTCCATAAATGTATACATTTTTAACAACATTTTCTCAATAATGCTGCAAAAATTTCTAAATTATTGTAATATGAACAATCACTGCTAAAAATGCTATAATAATAATAATAATAATAATAATAATAATAATAATAATAATAATAAATCCATATTTCCATTTAAAACATTTATTGTTGCTGACAACCATTACATGATAAATCGTGTTTTATCTATCACAATGAAAGCAATATAGTTTTGTCAACGATAAAAGAGCTGAAAAAGTTTGTATAACATTCAGCATAACTCTTAAGTTTAAAGAAAGGATTGGTGGGGTTGGCTGTACGCGTTGAGGTGTCAGTGCGTGTTAAACATGTATTGACAGCATCAGAAAGCAATCTATGTATTATCTATGTATTACAGGTATAAATACAGGGTGAATTTTTCTAATTAAATTAAACAGAAGATATGTGAAGTACATTGAAACAGTAACGTTTTAATAAAAATAGTAAAACTATTGTTTGGAAATATTGATATGAGACTCATTAATTTTCGGAAGCATTTTCGCTATTTTTCGTAATTATTACGATTGACTTATTGATATTTAATGATAGAAATGTTGTCGATACGTAATGTTACACGAAGGTCCTGATAGCCTAGTGGTAGTATGGCATTGCAAAGCAATCGCAACGTTGCAAGTTTGTATCCTCAACAAAGTATTTTTCTTTCCTCTTTATCTATTTTTAAATAATATCCTGCATTAGTAGATTCATCACCTCTTTAATATCTTGTGTCTTTTCTTTAAAAAATTCATAACATTGATATATAGATGCATATGCTATTTTAAGTTTGTACTGTCGTACAATGCATGGGTGGTTGGCATACAAAAGGTTTCGCAAATATCGCAGGTCAATATTGCCAAACATTATATTCATATAAACATTTTGATATAACTCAACCATTTCAAACACTATTTACAGCCTGTTTGCCGGCAAGGTTTGCCGTTTACCGATTGTTTTATACATAAAATGTCTAAAATAAAGAAAGAACGCGGTTTCTAAAAATGAATACAACTTTTCAGTAGAGTTGGAAAACCATGAAGTAAGAAACATTTGAAACTTAAATTATATATAAAAGTTACTCTCACACACAAAACTGGTCTAATATATCAACATATTTGTTTACAGTTATTAAATTTGCAAAGAAGTAAAATATGCAGATTCTCGAAATATGGCCTAACGGCTAACGGTTGTTTTGTTTCACTTGACACACATATGAACAATCCTATTATCATATCCGTTAACATGTAGCGAATAGGACATCTCATTTTAAACCGGATTACCAAAATATGTTCTGTTTTAATCGACATAATTCTATATGTGATTAATAGAATCTATCATTGGGTTTGATAGAGGATAGGGAAATCCCAACCCGAGGGTGATCGGTTCCATCGGGAACGAGCCTTGGCGAGTACCCGATGGAACCGATTGCCCGAGGGTTGGGATTTCTCTATCCTCTATCTAACCCAATGGTTGATTATTTTTCTCACTCACCTGGACACACAAATATCAGTGAATCTACTTGCTACGCGCTTTACAACGCACCTAGTTTTGAAAAGGGGGCGGGGCTTAGGCGCCTGACTTTCTATTATGTACGTCCGCAAAAAAATCTACTGACCAAGTTTATGTGTGAAAAATTTAATGAAAATGAATTCATATGAGATCCCTCATCAAAAAGCAAGGTTATCATGATAAAACACATCGATATTAAGAACGGAAAGTGCCATAATATAAGTGTTTATAAATAAGGAATTCAATCCATAGGCCTACAGTGCTGGTACTATAATGATTGACAAAAAGAGTTTACCGTTTGCAAAGATTTTTCTACTTTTTCGGTTTTTTTGGCCGAATATTCAATTAAAATATATCAAAGTGAGAATCGCCATCAAGAAGCATCGTTATCATAACAAAAAACATGACTGGTTTTCAGGCAAAGTGTCATAATATCCGATTTAACGCACAGGGACCCGGCACAGTGTTGGGATAGTGTAAAAAAGTAATTTTTAAAAAAAATATATATATTGTATATATAATAGACAAGGGGTTGAACTCGCCAAATCGGGCGAATGCCCCTAGTCCAGTATAAGTCAAAATTGTAAAGTCATTCTTGCGTAAATTATATAAAGCTATATATCAAATTGCAGCTAAATGACATCACTAGACGTTGACAATAACATTACTGTTCCCACTTAAACCGTTTTTGAACAACAAACTGATATTTCGGATGAAACATCGTATTTTTGCTAGGTCGGACACAACCGTGCAACCTATCAACACTCAATTTTCTACGTGTAAAAACGCAATTCCAGACCATGTCATTATACCAACCCGCAATAAATCGATAAAACAAAAAATAAACAACTTACCGCTGGAAATTGTTCCAAAACCAATCAATTATAGCAAACATTCATTTCTTTTTATTTCTCTTCCGACAAAATATTTTTTGAAGCCATGATACATACTCGGCAACGGTTGTAAGACATCGTTTGATTGGACGATTCTGTGACCCAGCAATACTTTTTATTTTAATCAACCAATGAAATAATCCGTTTCAAATTGGTCACGTGATAGCCAATGGATGCTGATTACAACTTTCATTTTCACATTCAGGAATTAATTGTTTACAGACGCTATAAAACAATTTAAAAATCAATTTCCGGCGGTAAGTTGTTTCTTTTGTTTTGTATTATCGATTTATTGCGGGTTGATATAATGTCATGGTTTGGAATTGCGTTTTTACACGTAGAAAATCGAGTGGGGACAGGTTGCACGGTTGTGTCCGACCTAGCAAAAATACGATGTGTCATCCGAAATATCGGTTTGTTGTTCAAAAACGGTTTAAGTTGGGACAGTAATGTTATTGTCAACGTCTAGTGATGTCATTTAGCTACATTTTGATATATAGCTTTATATGATTTACGCAAGAATGACTTTGCAATTTTGACTTATACTGGACCACGGGCGTTCGGCCGATTTGGCGAGTTCAACCCCTTGTCTATATATTATATATAAAGTATATTTTTTTTCTAGAATTACTTTTTTACACTATCCCAACACTGTGCCGGGTCCCTTTGATTTTACGAAGAGTGATCGATATTTTAAAGTGTGCTATTTTTAGTAACATATCGTTATTGGAAAGGGCGGATCTAGGTAGAGTAGGACTCATTGCAGTGTGAAAGTTAATATCAATCTATTTTGATTCCGTAGACAATTTAATAGATTAGCTCACAAATTTCTAATACATTTTGACCTTTTGACGTTTCATTTTTGTTAAATAGGAGTGAATCGCGTATTATTTAGAAGTGCTGCACGTTGAGTGTGAGATAAGCCCATGTGAGATAAGATTTTCCAACACCGCTATTTTTAGTAACATTTAAGGATTTTTCTATCTGGTTAGTGAGAAATATTGTGCAGCAGTCGTTGAAGGATAAAATACTTACTAAACGCACAACTGTTTTACCCGCCACCAACGGCTAATTTAAGTAAATATTGACAAAATAAAACGTTGTAAAGGTTTAAAATTACAACATGGCATGATAAACTTGGAAAAACTTTACTTCGATGTTTTTTCCGTCGGTTAGAATATGTATGAATCATCTAGTTTCATATAAATATTCGATTCTTACGTGAAATTTTATCGTTTGATGACATTTTATTTAAAAAAATCCCGAACTACAACTTGTGGGTTAGAAACTTTAAACTGTCTAGCATTAATGTTATGTCAGATTTGTAAATTCTGATAAAGAGATAAAGAAGTAAAATTATTTTATGCTAGGATTTGCAAAAATTATTGTTTAGTCTAGTTTATAAATACTGTTCTTAATAGAAAGAAGATACTTTTCAATTAATTAATATCAACGTCAAGAACGTCATCAAAAAATATTGTATTGTTAGTGTGTGCCGGGTTTCTTACCCCTTGTCATTTGAAAATTCACAGAATTGTTATTTATAATTATTTAGTATTGATTTTTCACTGTATATAGTGAACATGTTCCGATAATTGTCTCGTGTAAAATTGTGTACCTATTACCTTCTGAACAACCCTAGTAATGCTCCAATAGCGGCACCTGATACACCACCAATTACTAAACCAACTGGTCCTAGTGATGCCCCAGTGGCCGCTCCTGCTAATGCCCCACTAAACATACCACGTCCCATGTCATATGCATATTCTGTTTCAAAAACCAGTAGTAGCCTTCTAGTGATGATCCAGAATAGCTCAGTTCTGTCCAGTTGAACTTCAAGAACTGTTTTATCTTTCGATAAGACTATCTCGTACAAGTACCATTTGTCGCTTTTCGATATGAGTTGAACCTGACAAATATCATATTTACGTTATTGTATTTAAACTTTATAAAACAGAACAAAAGAAGAAAGTATCTCACTATTTCAAGATCAATGTATTTCATTTAGCAAAAGCACAACATTCGACCCATGCTCAGGAGAGTGTTGCAAGCAATGTTCGTTCCCAAATTACTAAGCATTACTAAAGCCCATTTAATCTTTATAGATCTAGACCATTTTATGAAAAGAGAATAAACAACAGCGTTTTATTTGAAAGCTATGTGTACATATATTTTATTCCCTTTTATACGCCATGATTAACGTACACGATTGGTCATACAGATTGGCGATAATTTACCTGGTTTTGAATGGTAACTAACGTGTAATTTCTCCGTTCATGACCGACCATTAGTTATTTAAGATTATTTTTAAGTCAGCGGTTAGATACAAATGATTATTACTTTCAAGGTACGAGATAAATTGTCACGGAAATATTGCTCCAAACCGAGGATCGGAACGACCCCTGGCGTACTAATTCGGTACTTGTCCCAGACTATATGTAAGTAAATCATAAATATCTAACATCTGTGCGTATTAGATACAAGGGATAAGATAAGAATAGTTAAGCTCAACATAATTATATACAATATCTTTTTAAATATTTAAAGATGTTTCCTTCACTAAAAGGCATAATTTATAGAACATCTTTTTAGAACTATAACCTTTTTTTATAGGAAAAAACATGTCAGTTTTATGTTTCATGCAACTTCCATCTCCCCCCCCCCCCAAAAAAAAAAAATGGATAAAAATTAAATAAAAACACGCTTCCGTCCTAATTATTTTTTCAAAGTGTGTGGCTGATATTGATATGTGGCATAATTATTTTAGATATTTTAGTTTCAAAGAACAACAAAGTTTTGCTTATTACGAACTGGCTTTGTAACATTACTTCCTCGGCTAAAGGAAATTTGATAATCAGTTTTCAATATATCAATGTAAGAAAAGTATAATATCCCTTTTGACAACAGGAAATAATTGTTGTATCTTCAGTAAGCTTAAGTAAGGAATGCTACATAACAAATATCAAATTCCTCAGCATTGCATTTAATTAAGGACAGATGTCACAGTATCATTCTAGGTGCTGTCACCTATTTGCATATCACAATAGAACCATTTATTGCTTTATTGCACTGTTGTGGGATTACTTTTTAAACATCCTTCCTGTAAAATTAGGTCAAGTGACATTCTGCGAATAAGAGGGGATGTATTTAAGGATATCGTTGACAATAACGTACGACGCACCACAAATGGCGGACGGCGGACATTTCGCGATCCATATGCATGGTTATGAGCATCCAGTTTTTTTAAGGAAAAGAAGAAAAAAAAAACACAAAAAAGAAAGAAAAAATGGATCGGTACCTGTTTAAGTTTATCCTTAGTCAATAATTTGATAACGTAACCCAACTTTGTACTCTCCATGAATTTATTAATATTCTCGAGTATTTCAGTCATTTTCGCTCGTGAAATTCTGTTGTCGTCAGAATGAATTATTAAATACTTGCTGTGACAAATCATCTGTAATTCAAACAAGCCAGTAATATAGAATGCATATAATTCAGTTCGCTGTGCAACTGTTTCCCAGCTGTTCCTATTCTTTGACAAGTATGTACATTAAAAAGTAAAATATTATTCCAAACACATTGCTTTTCATACAAACATCTTATTTATTATATCATAAAAGTGATGAAATATGAACTTTAATGACAACTTAAAACAAAACAAGTTTGATCACAAACATAGTGATTGACCTTTGAAAGATATCCATAATTTAAAATTACTCAAAAACAAAAATCTCAAGAGTAATGTTACATTGCTCTTAAATGAAATATAAAAGTGACACATTTTCAATTTTAGATAGAATGAATAAACAATAACAAATACTAAAACCTGATCTATTTCTATCCTCTCCTCAACAAAATCTTCCACTATGAAATTTCTCAACAATGTAAACATTGCAAGCATGTCTGTATCCGCTGGACAAGTGCTATCCTTGTTTCCGTGTGGCATGTATAGTTTTGCTATCTTCCAGTAGCTGTCCACATGAACATCTCCAATATTGTCCCATCCAAGGTTTGCTGGATCCAAATGAGCTGAGACAAGCTTCTCTAACAAAGACCTACACTCCGGTGAGTTAACCACCCATACACGATGATCTTGTACTGGTGTTAATGTGTAGCCTTTGTGCCGATTTTGAGCGATATCTAGCAAATTTTGAAGGTTGTTTTTCTCTGAAGAAGTCAAACTATCAAAAAACTGTCTGAAAATTGACCTTGCAAAATATGTCATAGCGTCGTTTGCTGTGATCTTGAGTGCAAGTACTGATTTTACCCAATTAACCTTTTCCTCTTTACTGACGTCATGCACTTCTGAAACATCTGTCATTAAAAGTAAATCTAAAAGATAATTATATATGTCGTATGTCTGCCTTTATTTGCATAAAACATCACAACATTATTTTTTTTAAAAGAAATTATGATTGATTATCCTAAAGGTAAGCAATATAGAAATTTTGTTTATATAAATAATATCATTGTATTTAAGAAAAGCTAATTAGACACAAAAATATCGTTAAAATGAGAAAAACATAGTTCTTTAAATAATTTAAAACGTTATAGTAATCATATTTAGAATACGTTAAAATATTTTAAGATTACTATGATATCATAAGACATATATATATATATTAGCTATATTGCTCTTATAAATATTTCATCTATTTCATCTATTCACTATATTTTTGAATATGATTTATTTGTTTTTTTTCCATCAGTTTGTTATATTTAACAATCCGTTTGTTTGTTCATGTAACATGAACAACAGTAAATTAGGTTAATTCAATGAATAACAGCACAAAGGACTATTTACCAACGTTTAAACAACAACAATAAAGGCAATATCCTGTTCAGTTAATTGTCTGTCCGTTATTAATCGGTCAATTTGTGTCGATTACTTTGACATCATCTTACAGTATGTGGTATTCGAAAGTTATATGCGATTATAAATTGTAATTATGTTTTCCTCATTATTAACGCTTTAAACTTTCCAGAATGTACACATTAGGATTATTCATAAACGACTCTTGAACTTTTTATTGTTATTCATTGTAATTTTCATTTAATATAAGAACTAATGCAATTATTTCGAGTATGCATGGACTTTTACTGGGGATAAAACGTTTTAGGGTGATATTTTAGAAAATGTATCTCTAAACATAGACCAGGCTCAGTTATGAATGTTGAAACCATCCGGAAATGAATTCAACACAATCCGAAGCCATATCGGTAAAGGCTGATTGGCATGCCATATGAAAACTATCTATTAATTGTATACCATCACAAATATGAACTATTTAGCTAGAAATCTGAAATGTTGTGTTATAAAGAAATATTATATTGACCTAGGTGATTACTATTATTTCTTGAAGTGCATATCACATCCTATTAAAACAAGGTTCTTTATAAGTCACCAATATGGCTTTTACTGTAACATTTTAATGTATATTTAACAATATGATGTTTAGAGTGTAACGATAATGTTTACCTCTAACAGAAACAGGCGAACTCATCTTTCTCATTGGCATTGGCTGTATTGAGTCTTTGAAAAGTGGTCGATCATCAGTTGATTTGTAAGGTTTGCTTTTAATATTGCCTGATTTAATGAGTTAAACAATGATAAAAGTTACGGCATACATAAAAGTATGAAATAAAAGAAATTACATTACGTTTTGACGAAATTCTTGCGTATTGTAATGTTAATTAGACTGACCTCCTCTTTTTCATAAGATCAAAATATGTAGAAATAAATTATTAGAATGAGAGAAAAATACAAGCTTGTAATAAAATGTATGATACTTTATATAAAATGAAACTTCTAATACAATTCACAGTTTCTTAACATTATCAAAAGCATTATGATAATTGCACTTAGAATACGTTATAGATATTTCCAGATTACTATGATATCTTAAGACAACAAGGGCAACATTGTCGCAAAATACAACCGTCACAAAAGCTTTTGAAAGAGATGTAGGCATTATAGATATGCATAAAGGAGATATGCTATGGGCATTTTTCAGAAAATAACTGGATATCTTATCATCTCTAGTGACCTTTACTTTGCATATATTAACCTTAATTACATGTTATGCACCAGTAGTTATGATTATGACCATTTGTGTTTCAATCCATCAATAAATGATGAATAAATTATCCAAATACACATTTTCATCATTTTATTTGAACTTTGACCTTGGCCGCAGAGACCTGAATTTGGCATGCGACGCCTTCCCTTACAATTGCAAACATTTGTGCGAAGTTACAATAAAATCCCTTTATTCATGTAGAAATTTTACTCCGGACAAGCGTTTTTCAATGACCTCTAAGTCTGACCTTGATTCAGAAGACCTAGTTCATTTGCATGACACTGCTTCTTATAGTGGTGAACATTTGTATGAAGTTTCATTAGAATCACTTCATATGTGTAGGAGATATGATCTATAAAATCACATTACATCCTATTCAATAAAAGGTTCTTTATAATTAACCAATATGACTTTACTGTAACATTATATTGTTTATTTAACAATATGATGTTTAGAGTGTAAAGATAATGTGTACCTCCAACTGAAACAGATGAAGTAAACTTTCTCTGAATTTGCTGTATGTGTTCTTTGTCAGGTGATTGACCATCAGTTGATTTGTCAGGTTGGCTTTCAATATAAGCTGATTAAATGAATTAAACAATGAAAAAAGTTAAAGCACAACTTAATGTATATTATGAATTAAAGTAATTATATAACGTTTTAACGATTTTGTTGTTATTGCTATCATGTACATTTTTCTTTAAACTGATAGTAACTTACATGAGGAATCATTTAATCTTTTTATATTTTAGTCGTGGGTAGATAACCCTCCGGATTACGGCAGTAGGCTTATTGGAAATCACCACGGCACAGTAAACCACTGCATCATTTCTAAACAGGCAGTCAAGCAGTTTACCAGTACTATTTGCATTATCTTTCGCAAGGAAATGATAACCTTTGTACATGATAGAGCAAAAGTCAAGTGTGTATTACCGAAGAAAGGATGTCATGAAAGTGACCAACATCGCTCGATTAAAAGCTCCACGCGCTTTTTATTGAGCGAACCAGACAGTATTTGTATTATTGTTTTCCCCTTTTTTCTTTATTTCCATAACATCCTTCTTATCAATTAGAAGTAATTGTCCAAAATTTACCTCTTTCACATACAATACCCCGTAGCTGATCATTGTCCACATAAGTTTTAAGACGAATTGTTTCTCCGATTATTTGTGACAATGTAGCGGATATCTTTTCCATATTACTGCTTCTCTCTGCTCCCCCGAACATTTTCCATATATCTGTCAACTGTTCTATATTAGTGACATTAATATGTAGTACTAAATCCTTTTCTTCTTTTGATCTTTTTTCTTGTCCAGGGCTTAACACTGACAAAAATATAACAAATAAATAAACTTGATTAAATGAAAGAATAGGAATGAACACTTTGAAATTATTTAAATCTTTTTATAGAAAAATCTAGCCATTTAAAAGATATCAAAATTGACTGTTATTTGCAAGCAAAACAGTATGAACTTCAGAAACGAAGGAAAAAACGGAGACGCATTTATTTCAACCAAGAAAAACAGCTGTTCAATTAAAGACTTCAATTAAAAATCCATACACATAAATGAAAAAGTTAAAAAAGTAAAAGTCTTAACTATAACACACGACGCTTTCCTCAAAAACACATATCAAGTACTCCTGTAATACGTTTTTATCTTTTTTGCTAATGCGTACGCAGTGAATAAAATGTTCCAAGTAAAATGCAACTATTGTATTACTTAGTTGAGTTTTAACTGTTGAATGATTTTCAGCAGGGATAATTCACGTTTAATGAAATATAAACATTTTTTTCATACAGGTACTTTGAGATACAAGTGTATATAGCTTTATAGATTAAAACAAACAAAGTCCCATTTTTTTTCTAAAGAATACTTACAAATTGAGGAAAGAGCACTCCTTAGACTCTTAGGTTCAACTTTCCAAGACAATGAGCATGGGAATCCAAGTAATTCACTGACAGTTGAAGAAATTCTTGATAAACATTTTTTGCTTTGATCGCCATTCATATATTTTAGAAAGGTGAGGATGCCTGTCACCGAGGAACAGGAAATTGGTAAAATGATACTTCCCAAACGAGGTTTGCCAACTCCGTCAGACATGTCTTTTATATCACTGAACCATGCTATTAAATCATCTAGCAATTGTAGTGAAAGTTCTCCATACCATTCAATCCGTAGTGCTATGATTCTTCTGATTTTATCATTATCAATTGTATTATCACTTTGTATCATCTCGACAAAATCAAGCAGTAAGTCGTTGGCTTTCCTTTGCTTTTCTGCATTATCACATTCGGCTTGTATGATTATTTTTAACTCTGAAGGTGATAATAAAATTTCAGAAATAGTAAAGAAATTACATACAAATCATTATTACCTGTTTGTTTGATTATTTATTGATTTAGAAGCATATGTACCGTAATTTCAGTCAGTGGGCTTCAGAAAATGTTTGAGCATTTTACAGGTCAAAATGTTATTTATCATATCAGGTATTTGAAAACAAATATTATACTATCAAAATTGTGGATTACCTTGTGAATATGTATGCTTTGTTGTCCGCAAATGTTTGTTTTGCAGGTCGGTTAATTTCCGAAGTATCATTTCTTGGTTTCCTGTCGAAACACATTATTGTAATGATATTAATTTCTTTTTTTGTGGAATCCTGAATGTATCATAAAATAAAATGATATATCAATATTATTCGAGGGGTGTTCAAATATGAATGCAACTAGGTCAATTATTAGAAGTGTTTAACAAACAATGTCAAAATAATTACCTAAATCCGTCTAAATACATACCACTATGTGATATACAGAGTTTAAGTATTTTAATCTATTTTTTAAATCACCGTGTCAAGGGTTTACGCATCATTTTTTTCCGCGTTTCGTCGTAAATTTATTATCCTGCGCGCAGCTACGTATCATTCTTACGTAATATTTTGATAAGTACAACAGGTATGTTCATAAATGCAAAATTGTCTTACTAAAATGGATTTTATTTAGAGAGTTTGCATACAGACATTTTGAATGTTTCATATATTTTTGCAAAACATTTTGCAACAATATTTGTCTATTAAAACCTGAAATTAATGGAAACACTTTTATACATGTGAAACATTGATGTTCTTGATGCGAACATTTTTCATCCTTTTCCGAAAGTAAAGCTGTTTGAAGAAGTATCATATCAACTGATCACAAAAAGCATTGACACGAGCTGATCACAT